TCTGTCAGCTTAAGTAGTGTCTGCATACCTTTCATATGTTCATGAATAACTGCATTATAAATTTGAAGTGCCCACATACAGATGTGTCAATATGAGGCGGTCTCATAATTTCAAAGTTGAATATGATCTGCATCCTGTAAATCTAAGCAGAGTCTTGGTATAATTTTTTCAGATTCAGGGCATTTTAGATTCAGAGACCTGAAATGGCTCCAAATGCTCTGGTACAAAAGCAGAAACAGCTTTGCCCTTGGAGACAGTAAGAGTAAGATTCAGAAGATGGTTCTTGATATGTTTATGGAAGGGGTTGTATGAATCTATTTTAGCGAACTCAGTGTCCCAGACATCCCTTCCCGTGCTGCGTTTATTTCTCTTGACTTGAGATGTGTGTGGGGCGCATAGGAATTGCAACCCATCATTCAAAATCCAAGCAGTATTACTGGTTTGTTAAGGTGATTAGCATGGATTTTTGTCTCAAACAGCTCTCATCAAGCATCTCTCTGAGCTCTATAAGCTTTAATGCTTATTATCTGATCACATCTTGGCTCTGGCAGAATTTATTGTCTGTACCAAAGAGATAAGGAAACTGCTAAAGAGAAAGGAAGTGACCTACTTGGAGTCATAGAAGAGGAGTGGGAAATCCAGCGTAAGTCAGGAGTCTGGTCTCCTTCATTTCACTTTGTACTTCCTCCAGCACAAAGATAGCTTCTAGACTCTGCATCTTAGACCCTGTTCTGATCCTAACTTCCCCCTTCCCTTCTCCCCAGGGGTTGTATTAAGAATAGAGTGTGAAAGCTGCACTTTCCCTAGCTGCTGTTTTGTGGTGAGGAACAAATGAGTATCAGTCGGCTGACCCCTGATGCTCATTGGTATGCTAGGACGGAAACCTGGCATGCTGCAAGGAGCACTACCTGTATTCTGTAGAGACTGGGATGAGGAAGGAGTGGAAAAAATGCCTAGAGGGCACTAGGATCCAGGGAGGAAAGCCCTCCCAAGTGCTAGTTAGCTCTGATGCAGCCCCGCTTGTACTGGATGATCCTTCCTACCTTGTTTCCCTGGAGCTCCTTCTCACCATGTACAAGGCTGGGCATGTTTCAGAGACTCAGAGATTCTTACTCTATTTTGCATGTGCCTCCAAGGCTGAAAGAATGTTTTCATTTGTTGTAGTATAATGATGAAAAATCTATCAGAGAAAAGTGACGTAGCTTATCTAAAGCTGCTTGATCAGTCAATTCTTGAGTGTTGCCTCTCCTTGGAAACTGGCCTCTGAGGAAGAGGAGCTGTATGTTGCCAGCTCAGTTCAAAGTTCACATATCAAATACTTGCAACAGTGTCCACTCTGACTTTTGCATTATTATTAATTGTATTATTTAGCAACTCTTTTGGAAGCAGTAAAAAGTCCCCAAAATTCTTAGCTGCTTGTACACTGTTAGTGGGGACATAGTAACAAAATTAACCAGATAAATTGCTCTGAATGACATGGACTCTAATCCTCTCTGCATTTAAGAATTTCAGCACAGATTGGCTGCTGCGTAACGAAGACTGTAGCTACGGGGTGGAGGCTGTACTTGAGCAGTATTTGACCATTTGCTGTTAAACAGTGTTCTAGCTTTGCCTCCGCAGAAAAAGCTCCTAGACTTGTGGCCTAGAGTAAAGGAGAAAGCAAAAGCAAGTGATTCCGAGGAACACAAGAATTCTAGGTAGGGAACTCTGTAATATCTTAAACTAGTGCTTTCTGTGAGCAGAACTCAACTAGCAATAAAACCATGATCTTATTCTCTTAAAATGGGAAAACATAATGTCCTTGTGCATAAGTGGATGAGTTCACCTGCTGTACAAGTTCTTCAAGGAGAGACCATGAGAAGGAGGTCTGCTGCTGCAACCGACGGCCTTTTCTCCTGGCTTGCGCCTTGCCCATCTTATGAAAAATCTCTGTAAGGTTGCTGCATTACTGCCACCTTTGCCCTTGAGGCTGATAGCTTGCCAGTTTGATGTGAAATTACTGTTCTGTCCTTTCTCTTCTTTCTTTTGCCATGAAGGGTATCTGATCTGTGCCATAATATATCTCTCTGTTTCTTCCTTGCCCCCATTATTTTCCTGCATTTTTGATCTGTCATGATAGCTTGCTTTTCAAAAATCAACTCCATCCTTGATTCTTTTTTTTTTTAATTTCTTTTTGTGGGGGTGGTAGATGAAATGAGCAACCCAGTAAGTTCATATTGGCTGATCTAACATTTCTGTAAATTTTTAGGCGAGGGGAGAGCACTAACTCTTTTTTTTTTTTTTTTTTTTGGACCTCTTGTACACCATTATCTTTTACATTTCACCTAGTTAACCTTGTAGTGAGACCTATAGCTTTGTTTTTGACTACATCCATCTTAAGAAACAAGACCAGTCTTAATTAAAAGATACCAAGAGGATCCACAGACTCCCTAGGTAGTTTATTCCAGTAGTTAATCATCCTTATTATTAAATATGTATTCTAATTTTGGCATGCCTGGCTGCAGCTTCCAGGCATTGGGGTCCTATTATGTGGTTTTCCACAATATGCTAAAGAGCTTGTAGTACTTTAAATTTTCTGTCCAGGAAGCTGAATCTTCTCTGTGACTGAGTTCTGTAAACATTGTTCTGAAAGAGATTGTCTCTAGCTTTCAGTTTTGTGGTTGTTTTCTATACCATCTACAGTGTCACCTGAACTATGAGCACTAGTCTAGTATTGGACTTGACAGCATCAAAGCTAAAATGACCTTCATCTTCCGCATCCCACTTTAAAGATCTAGGACTGCCCTATGCCCAAGTCTTGTTCTGAGATGCTTCATGTTTGTGCTCTACATCTTTGTTGTTGTTGTTTCAGAACATAAAGTCCAGGTTTGCTTTCTTTAATAAAGAGAAAATGAAGCATTTAGTGTATGCCCATTAAAGGAGCACAGTTCATTCTGTGTACCAAATAAGACAAAGATCTTATGAGGGAAAAATAGCATGTGTAAAGCCTGTAGGTATGTGATACTTAAAAGCAAATGGAGGGTAAGGAATTGATGTAGCAATGCAGTGAAACAAACCTTACTGGAACATAAATGGACTTTGCAGATCTGCTCAGGAATCTGTTTCGTGAAATAACGGAGTAGATGGTGGTTTTAACTCTCTGTGGACTGACACAGAGAAGACGACTCCCCGCCCCATGTATTTCTCTATCGGCTTCAAGAAGAGTAAATTATTATTTCTGGAAAGTGCATGGTTGTTATACTAAAGAATGATGTCTTTTATCTGTCTATTATACTCAGGAGTTTATAGAAAATTTAGCATGTTGCTGAGTCAAAACAGTAAGGCAATGCAACAAATTCTGAGGAATTCAAAATATAAATATTACCGTGGTATCTACTGATACACCCCAAGCTAGCCTCAATGGAAAGTATGGAGTTTAGCATGCATTAACAATAAATATATAAACGCTCCAGTATCTGGGTGGATGACACACTCTTTGTATTGATTTCTGCTAAACTCTCCACTTCGGGGGCCATTTCCTCTATTGCCTTGCACTAAGTAGGTTTAAAGATGACAAATATGTTGGTGCTTGCTATGATTCCAGTTTCATTTTGCTTCTACTAAAATGGTGGCTGCTGTATCAAAGAGCAGAAATCCATTCTAACTACACTTTTTTATTAAATGGTTAGCTTTTTTGACAAAAACCAGAAGCTAATGAACACTTACTGCTTTTTCTACAGCATAAAGAATGACCTGGTCCAAAATATCTGCTGGAAATATTTGTAGATTTTATCAAAGTAGGAGGTATTGTCCTTCATAAGAAGAGTTTGGCATAATTATTCTTAGGGCATAAAAATTTACAGCTCAGTAATTCTTCTTTCATAGATCTTGCACACTGAGATTATGTCAATACTAGTAAGTTAGAGTGGCAATGAATGTTCCCAGGCACTGGGATACCCTCAACTACGCTACAGAGCTGTTCCAGTCTTCCCTGACACAACTTCAGTGCCGTGAAATAGCCCCTGCACAGTATTTCTGAGGTTTAAAGAATTTGCTATCCTGGCAGCAGGCTGTCGCATGCCAGTTAACCTCAGCACCCAAGAACATTCCCAGGCATGTTTCACTTACTAGTAAAAATGCAGCCTAAGAGATTGAATAACGCTCTGAGCCCCCAGAGTGAGTAGGAGAATGGGTCTTCCATCGTGTGGTAATAAAGCACTTTCCCCTTCCTAAAGCTCTCATACTCCCAAGTTTTTACTTTGGACTGCCTAATAATTGAATTTTTTTTCACTATTTCATAAAGCAGATGAGAAACTTACCATGTAAAAACTTTTCTACCAAGCAATGTAAAAATCGAATGCAATATTAACCTGTAAAAGAAGTGTATTTTATCAATTATGTACCTTTTAAGCCCAAAAATCATTTTTGCTTTTATTCACACTGCTCTTCTGCATAATTCCAGACATCTGTATTTAATAAACATTATAAAAAGATTTTAAAAGTACTAACATAGTGACTTAGGGCAATCTGGGATAGTACCCTTTTAAGTATTGGCACTTCTGGCAAAATTTAAGAGTTGATTTTGTTCTCTGTCCAAGTTTTTCAAGGAGTGAGTCAGTCTTTCACATATTATTACTGATATATTACTTTTGCTGAAATGACACGCTTTTGTTCAGAACTGAACAAGGGTACCAACATGTTTCAAGATAGAATCTGGACATCTTGTATAACACGTTCTTGAATTGATATTACTATTGCATTTGGTTGTTATTATCTTCAGACAATCATTTTATTCAGAAGGAAGATGCTTATTTTCTTTTATCCTCTGGAAGACCAGTTATCTTGACATAAACTTTTTGATTTACTGGAGGTATTCACTGAAAACTGCTTCGCAGAAAAAAGGTCTTCCAAAAAGTCTGTGCAAAAAGGAGAGCTCCAGAAAGTCTGTTCAGAATTATTACTTGTTATTGGAAGGTCTTCAGGAAAAAAATACCCTCATTTTCCCCCAGTTCTCGGTCAATTTATTCCTCATTGATCTGCATCAAACTAGTAAGGAGATCCAGTCTTTGGCAGCCAAAGAGAGCTTTGGCAAGCTTTCCAACTGTAGCACCTTTGGAGCCTTCCCTCATTACCCACTTAAGCAGCATTTGGTAAACTTTTTCTTTTAGTCCATCTCGTTCATAGTCGTGATCAATTTCATCAATCTCGGGATCACCGAAGCCCAGTTTACGAGCACAGTGCTTCCACTGTTTAGCCAACTTTTCTCTCACTAGATTCAGATGTTTCTCGGTCAGGACAGTAGTATTGTCTGCAAAAAGAAAAAGATCGTAAGAAAATAACATTGTTTAACATTTCTTCTGCTCCCTTTGCTATCTCACCTGTCCTCCCCCAACTATTTACTGGTAATATCTGGAGACAGAATTTTAGTGATACAATCAGAAGTGGGTTTCATGGAGGCAGCACTACCCAATGATGCCAGGAAAGAAACTCCCAGTCAGAACACGTGTATTAACAGGTCAGTTGCTGGACTTGCTTTTTGATCTGAGGCTATCATAGTTTGTCCCTTCAACCTGCAATATTGAAAAGTTCTTATACAGCTGATGTCCGTATGATATATTTTATATTCTGGGATGCTATTAATTTGTTTACTTAGGAATACACAGGGATAGTTTAATTAAGTATTGACTAACGCAAATAAACTGAATTTCAAAATCTTCCGATTTCTACCCGAATGAAGTGGTCGTGGCCCCTAGCCTGTCAATGTTCAAGAAGTGTTTGGACAATGCTGTTAGATATATGGTTTAACTTTTAGGTTTCCCTGTGTGGTGTAAGGCGCTGGACTCTCTGATCTTCATGGGTCCCTTCCAACTCAGGATATTCTATGATTTAAACTATAAGTCAGGCAAGGACCACCAATGCTAACCCTGCTTCTACCAATTTGGGTGTTGTTATTCCTCCTGTTCTTGATGCATATACGTCTATACTTGCATCTGATGTCTCGTAAGAGGTCATGAAACTACAGGACAAATGAGGTACACAGTATTACAGAACAGTATTAACACAAACCCTTACTTGTTTTATACACACTTAAGTATGTAGTAGAAAAGGACTCAAACAGTTATTTCTCAAGTATCAGAGGGAGAAAGCTGTACCAGATAAATATATGGGGAGAATATATCAAAACTAGGGAGATATTTCTCTTACCAAATATGCCCATTGCTTCATAATGCATGTAAGTTGCTTCTGTAGCAACAGGAGAAGTGCTGATGTGTTGATTGTGCTCTTCAATCTTCATGTGATTATAGGATCCAATTTGAATTCCAGAACTGTTACTTATGTTGTACTTGATTGAATCTTCTGTATAAGGGAATTAAATACAATTTTATAAACAACTGCATATGGTTCAAAATGTCAAGAAGTAACATAAGGAGGAAGAAGGTTCTGCTAATCGGGGAAGTGATTAAATGGTTTTATTGCATTTAATGTAGAAATGGCCATTTACTGGCAACTGTGAGCATATTTTCATTATGCGGTGTGATGACATAAATGTACTTTAGTGAAAGCCCATCCTATTCTATTCTATGACAAAGTGCCATAACCAAGCCTTACACGCTGGTAGTAACTAGACTGTAAATAATGTTCCCTGCACTTTAGGACTGAGTAGTAGCAGCCTCGCTTTTTGTTGGCTAACAGCTTCAGGAAGTCTTTACTTGAAAGCGCTTTTTGTTTAAATCTTAAAGCCTTACTTCTGCCTCTCAGCTTTACTTTCCATAGATGTAAGTTCAGGTTTGCAGTTATGACTTCAAAGTTCTTGAGACTACAGAAAATCATTTCTAGTTGCTCATAAGGTTTCTATACTCCACGTTACACTATGCTGATGGCATCTTTGTTTCACAATGTATTTCATCCCTGCTATCTAGGAGTATATTGTTCAGTTGTATATATTTTCACAGTGAATCACAGTGCACTACTTGCTCAGTGTTTGTTTCAACAACTTTTTTTTTTCTTTTCCTCCCCTGTTCTGTACTTTTGGTTCTAAGGCAAGACTAGAATGTTTTCTGAGACGCCTTACCAAAAAACCCTACTCCTTTATTTTAAGGCCTGAATCCTCAGCAATAAAAGTCAACATGCATATGCACCAATTGCACAGCTAAATTGTGTGCATCTCTTGGAGCTTGCATCTGTGGTTTACTCTGTGACTAGTTAAACACCTGATTTGGTGTCTTTTGCTTACAGTTGTCCAATTTCCACACATAACAGGAAACTAAGTCACTATTCTAGTCATATTAGGTGACGTCAGTTTTCTATTCTCTTGACAATGTTTTCTGAACTCTGTTTGGATAATCGTCTGTTAAACGTTCTAACTCTAGTTGAAATGGTGAGTATCACAACCTGGGTCAAAAAATTCAAGTACAGATACTTAAAATGATAGACCAAGCTCTGTGTTTAATAACGCAAAATGATGGCTAGATGCACAAACATCCTTGTTAGACACTCAATTGCAATGTGAAGTGTGGAAATCTATGGTGACATATGAAAATCTGACTACATTGCATTTAGTATTTGTTAACCTGAAACTGCTAGTCAGAAATACTTATATGTATGCATGATTAGTTTCTAGAAGTTGCACAAAAGGAATGCATTTTATCATGTCTCAAAATATTGATTCCGTATAATTTCTTTTTTTTTGAGGTGAAAGGACCCAGGAAATAAGTTCATATTTTTAGCTAAAAAATGAAGAAATCTCATATATTTGCTATTTTCTTACGTGGTAACAAAATGAATCTAGCACAAGATATGAAAAAATGTACAAATGCTTTGTCAATATTAACAGTAAAAGTTACTGTGCTTATAAATCTCCTTTCCCAAGTCTCTACGCTTTGCTTGCTTGTCACGTGTGGGTCATCATCTAAAGACTCTAAGGGGCATATAGTCAAGAAGACAGAAACCTGCTGTTTCAAGTTTTCTTTGTAAGTGTAAACCACTTACAAACTGGACAAGCCTTGAAAGGGTTAATTAAAGAGTTCAGGGTGCCCCAAGCAACACAACTTGAAAGGAGCATATATTAACAACTCCTAAAGGACAGGACAGAATTTCAGGGGTTTAAGACAGTTGAACTGTAGAGACCTGTGCCCCAAGGAAGGCTGATCAGCATGAAGCCTGCCACTAGAGATTTGTATTAAAAATCCAGAGCAAGAAAGGACAGGTGTCTCAAATGCATGTGTCATTCAGGAGTTGGGTAGAGTCACAGCACATTGACATTTAATCTCAGAAAGTGACTGGTTTAGGCGTACAGGAGATCTTACAATGCCTTCGTGTTTTTGAAAGCTCTTTTACATTAAAGATGATGTTGTCCTTGATCCATCAAATACACATTTAAGGGCGTGTACAGGTCCTGCTAGAGGCAGGAATTAGTTTTAGCTATGGTTAGAGGTATTAAGCAATAACATAAATTATTTCAACGTCTTGAAGTTTTTTTTGCTTTACTGATCAGGATGCAATGCATAGCCTGTTGGCTCCACGACAGATGAAGGCTACAGCACTTACCTGTATTTACTCTGGGTGCAGTAGGATAATATGTAAAAGTTCCCCTTGTAAAAGAAGTGGCATCCTTGTTACCTAAACAAAGAGGGAAAACAAAAAAAAATGCCAAAAGCATTATGTAAATAAAAAAGCAAATGTACTTAAAAATGACTGCCATATTTGTAACAGTATGAGTACATAGTTTGTGCTCTTAAATACAAAGAGATGAGAAGCTTTTTAATTAACAGGATTGTATCTCCTTGAATAACCCTAGTTAAAGCAATGACCTTATCGTGGTTTTGCTCAGCCTTAACTGTCCTTGGATCCCAGTGAGGGCAATGGGCTTCCACGTGGTATATGAATGGCTGGCTAGTAGATGGCAGTGTGCGATCACAGCGCACCAGTTATGGACTGAGCTGCCTCGTATCAGGTATTCAGATTGGAAAATTCCAAACTCCCAAGTGTGCTCGTACTGCTTACTGCTGAGACTGACTGCGGTTTGTATTAGCAGGCTGCTTGCGACTGGCTCTAGCAAAGGCATGGGACACCACTGCACCTTCTGCCAGTGGCAGTAATGTCCGGCAGAGATGTAACTTCCTGGCCAGGGCAGTAATCAATTTGGACTCCCACAGATGAGCTCTGCAACTCATTGATGGGGCAGTAGGAGTGACTGGGTTATGGTCACCCAACAACTCAATGGAAGGCATCTCAGTCTGCTATCTGCCATGCTATTGCACGCACCCTCCCTATAACAACTGTTTTCTTTTTTTCTTTCAAACAGAAGATTTTACTTTATTAGTGATGTCGACAGTTCTAATCCCTGCCTTCTGACATGACAGCTCTCAGATTCATTTCAGTAAATAAACTCACATAAACAACTGATCATGGCCTCTGCATAAGTAATTTAACAGAATAACACTTTTGTGGCATTCTGCCTGTAAACAGCTAGGCATCCTTGATTTTCTTGTGAGATGATCTGGAAAAGAATGCCACACTAAAAATATCCAATATTTAGTAGGAGCAGGCTAAAATATCTCATGCTACCTCTAGTCCCTAGAAGTTACATCTTATAGGCCTCTAGTTACCATTTATTTATACTTTTTGCCAATGCTCAGTGTTCTCTTTCTTATCTCCATACCTTTCTACTCCACAGCTCACTAGCAAATACCGACAGAAGCTCCCCATCAGCACCAGGCAGAGCTCTCTGGAGAAATCAGTTATGAGCCTTAGCTCCTTGTTGGCTCCCTGAGCTCAGGAGTCTCTTACCTTGCTGCAAATCAAGCAAAAAATACTCATCTATTTTCTGAAATGCTACAAATGTTGTTTCTGCACAAGCAGAACCTATGGATGAGTGTTACATTTTTGAGTGTCAAAAGTTTTCCTTTGCTTTCGTAGAATGATTGGTAGCAGCTCTTGGTTTCGGTAGCTGCTGTAGCAATATCTGCTGTCTGCTATTACTTGGCCGGTAGCTGAAGAGTTAGGCATTGGGTCTGATGCTCCTCTATTACACTGATGCTTTAGAAATGGTTCACTTGAAGTTAACAGCCTGTAATCAGTGAAAGCAGCATAATGAAGTCAAAGCTAGAGCGTTTTAGTGACCTGAATTAACTTCAAGTAAACAAAGAGAACTTCATGAAATAAATTCACCTTTGCTGTATCACACATCAACTGTTAGCAATAAGCAGGTTGTTGTTACATAAACTACAAAACACTCTTGGCTACTTCATTTTTAGAGAGCAAGTGTGTTGTCAGAAACATAGGTGTTGGGGGAGGAGGAATCTCACCCGTATCGGTGTCTGCATTCTTTGGATACCAGTTTACGTTGGACCGCACGTTTGGGCCAGATTCAGGCACAGGAGGTTTACTTAGGCTAAAGGTACTGGCTGAACACAATCCATAGAGACCCTCTGTGTTTCCTGTTAGAAGTCTGTTAGGGTTTGGCCCATAAAAAGTATCTACATTTCCCCGTTTTGGTGTTGCTGCAGCTGGCTGTGGCCAAAAATATGGATTAGTGTTTGATCCTGTTTTTTCAGCTCTTGGATACAGCTCACTCTGTTGAGGAGTAGGAGATGACTTTGCAAATGGATCGTAGGAAACTCTTCGTCTCCTTTCTTCGTCCCTCATTTCAGGGGTATATACTACAGGTGGAACTGCTTTATCCATACGGCTCCCAAATACATGGTAGTTGTATTCACACTGAAGTTTTCTTTCTAGATTATCAGCAGATGTAAACGAGGTCTCGCAGCTCTCAACAGGCTGGTTCTCAGGAGAGGCAGTAAACAGGGCTTCGTTAACCTGACTGGTCATGGGACCTTGAGAGCTGTGTAGAGAATTAGGCTGATCTGGAAGGGAGGAAAATTAAATATTTAAATACATCCAAATGCAAGTATATAACTTGTTGCGATGACACTAGAATCTATCAATCTACCTTTATATATATATTACTGTAATATATAAAAGGTGAAAATATAACATTACTTCCAGCATAAGCGGTGTTTTATTCTATAGAATGGTTTTACTGAGAAGTATTACAGATTTTTATCTAGGAAGTACAGGCTTGTTTAAGCTATCAGTGTCAAAATCTCACTTAGTCAAGTGGTGTCAGAATTCACTGCATATTCTGCTTATATTGACATCAAGTTCTCAACCACTGAAACAAACAGTTCCTGGAGGCATTTGTAGGGTCTGATTTAATAGTGTGTCTCCACTGGCATTAACTGGAGTTTAATCAGTGCAAAATTGGAGTGTTACAGGATAGAAAATAACACCACTGTAATAGGTGTTACTTCATACAGCACAAATAATTTGTCATTAAAGTCATGTTTGCAAATTATTATGTAAAATAACCCTGGGTATTTCATGATGAATCCTTTTTATCTAGTTTATTCTTCATAGTCCCACAGAATACATTTTTACAAATAATGCCTACCAGATAAAATAGTCTGTATCATCTACATCTTTCAAACTAATTCTCACTGTCAAAGGAAGCCCTACTTCAGTCTTGAACTAGATTGAGTTATGATCTGGATCATGCTGCAGCATTCCAACACTAAACAAGAATGTAAAAAATCTGCTTGTTACTACTTGTTCTTGTGTTTTTAAGGGTAGGACTACAGGTGCTTTCTTAAAAAGTTCCGAAAGCTTCAGAGTTTCTAGAAAACATTGTACATTGCCTAAAGCTAGGGACTCTTACAGACCACTGTAAAATTGGAATAAAGTGTATGTATGTGCTTCTGCTTAGCTCAGATAATGCCAGTGAACTGTTTTTGGTTTTGTTTTGTTTTTTTCCAAATTACATTAATTCAGTCCATATTAGGCAGGACCAAAACTAGTTCCCTTTGATGGCTGTGTGTTAGTACACCTTCAGTCTGACTCACTCTGCTTCTTTTGTTACTGCTGCTAGAGAGGGAGTGGGAGAAATAAGCTAATACAGAAACAACCTCATCAAAAGTGACAGTTATTAGCAATCTGGTATTAGCATAAACTATATGGCATCCATTCTCCAGGGCAAACTTGAGATGTACGAACAGATCCTGTGGGATATCTTTCACTACCGCTGTCTGAGTAATGCCCATTGACTGGAGAAAAAAAACTGACTTTGACTGACAGGCTGTCAAGATAGTATCTTTCTGCAGTGTAGGTTCACAATAAGGCCTTTAAAACACAAGAGCATCTGTAATCTGCTGCAGTCATATGTGATTATTTCTGCTAGGGAAATGTAATTATACTCATTTAAAAATATAGCAGTAGGGCTGCCCTACTAAGTTCATCAGTTCTGCTGAAGAACAGTTATGGCAAACCTAGTTTTGGGGAAGATTTGTTATTTGCATGTTAGTTTAACATTAGTCATTTAATAATGTCTTTCAAATGGTGTGAGCAAAGTTAGCAGGATTTTATTTCTACTGAATTTGATATTGTTGCAAGTGTTGCATTGATAGTGTTGCAAATATGATCCTATATCCTCTTCCATTAGGAAACTTTGGTAAAAGAATTCCAGATACACTACTACAAAACTGTAACTATATCATCACGTATTAGTGAGACAGCTCTATAAAACATGCAACCATGAAACATGCAACTCATCCAAGACTTGATAGAAAATATGAGAGAAAGGAGAGAAAATTCATCTATTAGTGCTCCTCAGATAGATTCCTTAGAGAGTAAGATCATAAACAAAGGAATACGTTATAATTATGCATCCTGGTCGTATTCAGAGCATTCATAAAAAAGGCTGGAGTGGGAAAAAGGAAAGTCTTCATGAAATAAGTCTTCATGAAATTAAAGCCTACAGACCAAGCAGTTGGCATGACTAAAAGGATGGGAAGAAAGATCAAGTATGAAAAGTAATTATCAAAGTGACCATTGAAAAGTCTAATGTTAAACAAAATTTTTGGCATGGGAGAGGAAAGCAGAAGAGTGTAAAATGAAATGGGTTCAAACTGTAGATTGTGAAAAATTCAAAACAGTAAGTATGACTTTGGGGAGCCTGGGAGCAAATTTAAATCTTTTTGGCGATTACAATTCTCTCTGAAGCACTGAATAATTGAGTCTCTTCATAACCCCTTAATGGTAAGATTACCTACTTTGTACGTATACACAACTTTATCTTCGGCAGAATACACAGAATGATGTGCTAGTAAGTGACTTACCTACTTGACCATTACTGGTATCTTCTGCTACAGCATCTATTTGAAGGGATTGCATCCTATTCAGCAGTTCATTTGACTCGGGCCATATTTTCTGCACGTAAGAAAGAACAAATGATCAAGTTATAGGCAAAAGCTCAACCAAAGGGAGTACCTGTAGAATAGGAAACAGCACAGCTTCATAGTGAAGTGACCTGGATGAACAAATTCTGTGAATCTGTGCGAAGAGATCGCATACTCTGTTACAGAGAGCACAGCCTGACAGAAAATACCCATTGCTTTGCTACAGATGGGCAAAATCTTTTCTTCAATAAAGGGAGGAAGGGCTGCAATGCAACTGCAGTATACTCTGAGTTGGCCAAACAATACTCTTGCCTACATGAGTATGAACTTAATCCAGACAGAGTGGTTTTGGACTGTCTGTCTTGTACTTCATAGCTAGACTTTCTGCAAGCAATCTTGGTGAGAGGATGCTGCTGAGATAAAGGTAGCAAATGTACATCCTGTTTCGTGGATCTATATTTAGTAAGTACATCCATCAACAGGGAAGAGGTGAGGAAGATGATTTACATTCAGGTATGGCCACACTGACTTTTATGAAGAGTATTAGGAACAAGGAGTTCAGAGCGAATCTTCAGAAAGATACAGTACAACTTCCTTTCTGTAAACCCTCATCCTTGCTTTGCTAGAGCGAAGGCAAAATCCATTCCTGTTCTATTCAGACTTCACTGGAAGTTAAAAAAAAAAAAAAAAAAAAAAAATTTTTACCTGGAAAAATTATTTCTCCATTTCCCCCAGTGCTTCTTACTCGTAAAATAATTTCTAAAGGTAGGGTTGGGTGGTTGGTTTGTTGTTTTTTTTTTTTTTTTAATTAAACCCAAGAACTACTTTCACAGATTAAAAATCAACAACTACTCTCTCTTCGAAAAAACCTACTTCCTTTTGAAAGCAAAAGATGACATTCTAAAGCACATTACAACCTTAGGGCCTTAGATTTTACTTGAGCATGGGGGTTGGACCAGATGACCTCTAGAGATCCTCTCCAACCTACACCATTCTGTGGTCCTTTTAGTTAGGAGGCAGTGGACTCTGCTTCCATGATTGCTAGTGGTGGGGGGAGGGAAAAACAAAAAGGCTATGCTCAAACCCTCTAACTCATGTTGCTACTGAAGCTGTACTAGTAGTTCACCACATTGGCTTGCCCTGGATGCTGTATTCACATTCTGTGCCCTGATTGGAATGGATGCTTTCCATCCTGAGAAAGCAATAGACTCATGGCCCATTTTCTAAATAGTCCTGTGGTCCTTATGATTTGAGAGGTGTATTTGCAGAGAGCTAATGCAGTTAGTATAATTGGCCATGATCCTGATTTGGGGCCACTATCATAAATTAGACGTATATACTTCACATCGTGAGTTAGTTTGGTCAAATCAGTCCAGGAAATTGGTTTTACGAGTTTCATTTTGCAAAACTCTATTGCTTTTTTGAACAGTCACTAGTGCTTCATAAACATCACATGTCCTCTAAACCAGAAACTTTCATTTCCACAATTACAGACTTGGTGACAGAAGGAAGCACTTTAAAGAAAACTGTAAATGAATGGTTTCACAAGGAAGTTGTTCTTCTTTTCTTAGTTAAAATAACTGGGTATGTACTCTTCTGAGCCTCACTTCACTGCAAAGATTAAACCCCTAATGCCAGGAGTTCTCACCGATAGCTGCCAGTACTACTGAAGTGAGTAAATTGATAAAATCTGTGATAAAAAGGTTTCATAATCAACCCAATTGTTCAAGAAGTTATCATTCTCTTATTTTCAGTCAGGAAATTGTTCTTTTTATCATGATTTATAAATCTACAGCCTGAAAAGTAAAAGAAACCAACTTGGACACTCAGGAAAAACATCTGATTTCAAATTTTCCCTGTTGTTATTACTGCAGTAGAGCTTCCTGGTCTCAAGCAGGCTGGGACTCATTAGACACGGCCTGAACGCAGGACAAAAATTACCAAGAATTTACAGAGTTCTTTACACTTACTCTAAATCAGATTCTGCCACTTCTGAATCTCTAGGAATAACATTTTATTTCATGAGTGACACTTATTGGATATATAAGGAGCTCTTGCAGTTTTATCATAGAATCAGAGTGTCACTTAGGTAGGACTAGACCTTGGGGGACCTCAGTCCCACCTCCTGCTCAAAACAGGGTCACCTATGGGATCAGAGTTGGTAGCTCAGAGCTTTGTGCAGTTGGGTGTTGAAAACCTCCAGTAATGGTGACTGGACAACCTCCTTAGGTAACTTGCTCCACTGCTTAGCTGTCATCATAGGGAAGTTTTTTTTCTCTTACATCCAGTTTGAATCTCTCTTGTTTCAGTTTATGTCTGCTGTCTCTTGTCCTCCTACTATGCACTGCTGTGAAGAGCTTGGCTCTATCTTCTCAATAAACTCCTCATAGGTAGGGGCAGGCTGCTATTTAAGTTTCTCCAAAGCCATTGCATGTCTGGGCTGAAACAGCCCTGGTCCCTTAGCCCCATCGCACATGGCAGGATGAACAAGTGCTGAGCAGATCTGCTCAATCTGCTGCCCGTGACACTGTTGGTACAGCCCGGGATGCTGCTGGCCTTCCTGGTTGCCAAGCAGGCTGTGGCTGGTGCCCAGGTTGCTGCTCAATACCCTGAGGTCCTTCTCAGCAGTGCTGCTCCCCGGCCAGGCAGCCCCCAGTTGGCACTGAAGTCACGGTGCAGCAGGTGCAGAACGTTGCATTTGTCCTTTCTGAATTTTACAAGGTTTCTGTCACGCCATTCCTCCAGCCTGCAGCTGGCAGACTTGCCCTAGTGCCCTATCGACTGGTCCTCCTAGTTTGGTGTCACCTGTACACCTTATGAGAGTGTGCTCCACCTGACGTCACTGATAAAGGAATAAACCAGGGAAGGTCCCCGTATAGTAGACCCCTGCACTACTGCAGTTGTTACTGGCCTCCAGGTGAAGTAGGACCCATTAACCGCTACCCTCTGAGACTCACCATCCAACATGTTTTCGTCTGCCCCTCCAGACAGTAACATTCAAACTTGGATACCAGATATTTTGGGAGACAGTATTGAAAACCTTCCTAAAATTGAGGTAAATTACATGCACTGCTCTCCCCTCGTTCACAAATCCAGCCATTTTATCACAGAAGGAAATCAGGTCGGTCAAGCATTGTCAGTCTCAAAGTGGCAGAATCTGATCATAACTGGGGTTGGGGAGAGGGGATATGGGGAACTTACACTTTAAAATGCTTAGAAAGTTACTCACTTTTAACTTCTTCAGATCATCTTCAATATTTTTTCCTAGACTTTGATAGTAAAATGGCTTGTATCTTTGACTAATTTCTGCAAAAAGAAAAGAACTAAGTGAAAGTGGTTTTCAATGGAAAATAAGTGATTTATACTGTTAACAATTTTGATGCATAAGGATTGAATAAAGACTTGTATGAAGTCAGAAACAGGAAAATTACACGTACACTTGGAATCTGCTCACATGGCTCATTTAGCTTAATATGTAACAAGAAAAGGATGATTTCCAGGGATTTTTTTTGTTGCTGTTGTATTGCTTTTTAGGGTGAAAGATCTCTGTCTATGATCTGTGGCTGACAGGACCTTGACTTGACTGGCCAAAAGACTGGTTGCCACATTTTAAGAAATAAGATACATTCAGTTGCATTCAGCTATTTGATAAACAACTAGCCTGTCTCTGCTAAAGATGGAATTACTGAAATAATCTACTAACATGGTAAATATCAGTATTTTGCATATGGGAAAATTAGAAGCTAAGACCCAGTGCAAGCATAAACTCAATCCATTAGCAGTAGATTATGCAAGTTAAATGTGGAAATAGTAGATGGGTTCCTCCTGGTATACAAATTTCCTATGAGTATTTAAGTACATGACTGTTGTATATGAAGCTCTTGGTGCCCCTGTCTAAATCCAAACCTTCACTTCTTGTTATGCGTAGGGTTTTTTTTGGTGTCGTCCCCCGCCCCCCCGCGGTGTTTTTTTTTTTTTTGCTTGTTGTTGTTTTGGGTTTTTTTGGGGGTTGGTTGGGTTTTTTTGGCATTACATATTGAGGCAGAAAGAAGAGACACAAGGAGATAAAGAATTTTGACTTATTCGCTGAATGCTCTTAGTCTCCTTCCCAGATCATTCAGTCGAGACTTTTACTGACTGTAAGTGTTTTGGGATCTGACCACACAAAAGGCTGATTAGCTAGTCAAAGGCTGTTGCATTGCTCATGGAAGGCTAAGCTGGGACAGCTTGTGAAGCTAGTTTCGATATGGTATTTTCTCAGTCATACCCAAGATATACTATGCCACTTGATGTTAGCTTTTCTGTAAATTAGGAAGATTATACTATGCTGAAGACAAATTATCAGCAGGTATAAAGCATCTTAGCTCCATCCACTCACTAGTATTTCTCGAATCCGTAAATGTTGGACCAGATCCCATTTTTAGTCAGGGTACAGGGACCGTGCTTTACTGGGCATGTGAATTGATATTTCTATTTTCAAAGCAAAAATTTATATTTTAAGAGGAAAACACTCAAGTTTGTTTTGCTGCATTACAAACTATTGACGAATATGTAACAAAAAGAATCCCAAAACGATGCCTTACCTGCAAAGGTTGGCCGTTTCTCTGACTCTTGCTCCCAGCATTGTTTCATTAAGTCAATAATTTCCACTGGACATTTATCAGTGATCTCCTTTATGTCTGGTCTGTTTCCATTCATGATGCCAAAGCAAATCTGGGCTTCATTTATACAATCTGAAAAATAAAATTTCCTATCAGATCCTGACTACAGGTTTTGCTACCTTTCCGTAGGTGAAAGAAATAGTGAAGCTGCACCCTGTGTGTTTGTGGATATGTAAAAGAAGATTTCAAAGAAAGATGTCTGATTTACAGTACAAATTTCTCACATTAGTGAATTTGAATCCACTGTCCTAACTTCCATGGATTAGAGATTTATTTTAAGATTAATGGATTTACTTTTATATGTAAGACATGCCCAGTGTGAGTAAGGGATCTAGCTCTCTAGAACCTGAATCTGAGTTATGCTCTGCACTAGCTATGAACACAAAGATGGCCACACGGGCAACGTTTAGCCATTCAGTTAGGAAAAAATCCATTCAAAATTATAAACACATTACTCTGGAATTCCACAGTCTGCTCTTATTGCTCTACATGAGCACATTACTGCATGTTGAGAAATTAGCACCACACAGCTGAGAAGCAGTAACTGGCTGTGTGACCATTCCTGTTAAAAGAAAAACCACATGTAACTAGCCCACCTTAGGGAATAGCGTACATCAGTTTCCATCCTGGCCTGCCCAAGGTTTGTCTAACTTCTGCCACTGAGTGCAGGTTTATGCCCACACCATGTGGATGTGAATAAATTGGGCCCATGCCTGCATTTCAATTCATATGTCCTTGTCCGTGCTTAGAAGTCAGGAATGATGCAACTAACGCCTCTTACTGGCCATGAGGTGCCTAACAGGCGCTATTCTTGGGCATAGGTGATTTAATCTACTAATCTTAATTTTATAACTTTAAATGCTTAACATTTGTAACTTAATTTTGTGACAGAGTCCTTTTGGAAGTAACTTACGTTCATATGGCTCTTTGTTAGCAAAAATTGCCCAGATCACTATGCCGAAGCTGTAAACATCTGATTTCTCCACAGGTTTTACATTAAGACAGCGTAAATGCTCTGGGGCCATATAGAAAAGAGTCCCAGCATTGTTCTGGCAAGTGCTTTTGATTTGCTTCTGTCGGACAGTCTCTTCTTGGGTCAGCCGACTCCAGTTCTTAAAGGAGGCAACACCAAGATCTGCAATCTGAAAAATGACACACATCAGACCTAGTGCTGAGATGAAGAGGAGATAAACAAGTATTTCACCCAGTGCTCAATTTTATAATGAATAGCTGGTAATAATTTATCTAAAAATGAAACACTGCAAAAAATGCAACTACAAGAAAGGAAAACAAACTATTTGCCATTTTATGGGTTTTTTTTGCCTAAATAAAGTATCACTGCCAACTGGGAACTGTTAGGCTAAACCTTCATTATTAACTTAAACCTACTTGGAACAAGCGCACAATCTAAGGAAAGAAGAAGTTTGGTTTTGCTCATATTGACAATCACGTTCAAGATCTGCCTGCAGTGCTCGTGGCAGAACAGAAGATTCATATGAGAAGTAAGATTCAAATCCAGAAGTAATCTATGAGATGGGCAGATATTCCTCCTCCTTCACTGCCCTTTCCATTTAGATTCCACTTAGCTCAACTTCCTTAGATCTTCCTAAAGAAAGGGGGAGGAAGAGGGTCTAAAATGATGCGATGTGTATGGCAAAGAGACATGGAAAAGGATAGCATGGAGTAAGTTAAAGCAGGGATACCTGGGTACTGTGTGCTTGACAAGGAGACATTGCTGAAACCTTAGGGTGCAGTTTTACAACTAGACTAATGGCTGATGGTGAAGAAAGTAATCCTTCCCTCCTTTCCGCACAGCCTCCTGTTATGTGCTCCCTCTGCTCCTTCTGTTCCAGCACTGACACTTACCTGACACTGGGAAGACCTAGTGCAAAGCACACAAATGGCTTGCTGAATCAAGTGCTCCCCAACAGAAGGGTAGCACTGCCAACAAGGCGAATTGTAATCTGCTGGTTTGGCTTCCTAAATCAGGGCAGGGTGGTCAGATTAACATCAGTGCTAACACAAGGGAACAGGAGGTCAACAGGAGAGGAACAATGGAAGAAAATGGGACTGCCTCTCTTGGCCACAGTTAGCTCTCAAACTGAGTTGTGTAACCCAATCACTTCAGAAAAAACTGAGGTGACACCATGCCTCACTTCTAACTTGCTTTTCTCTTTTGTTGCCTCTAACTAGCTTATTGTTCCTCTTGAGTTTCTGAAGGTTTAGCTAAATTTTGAGGTGATGTATGCAGAGGAAGAGG